GAGGATTGCTTGAGGCCAGCACATGGACACCAGCCTGGGCAACAGAGCAAGACCCCAGCTCTAAAAAAATATAATAAAGTAAGCCAGGCACAGGTGCTGGGAGGCTGAGGCAGGACGGTCACTTGAGCTCAGAAGTTTGAGGCCGCAGTAAGCTAAGATTTTGCAACTGCACTCCAGCGGGGGTGTCAGAGCAAGACTCTGTCTCAAAATAAAATAAAAACAATTAAAAAAACAAATTGCGAGACCTACAGTTTGCTGAGCCAGGATGAACTATAATAGGTGCATGCTTACCTGTTGTATTTCACTATGATGAACCAAATATGTCAGCACCTCATTAAATGGTCTGAGTATATTATAGAGAGTATATTACTTCAAGAATCCTGAAAGTCAGTTGGTGACAGTGTCATTGCTGAGGGGCATAAGCAGAATCTGTCCCAAAACTTACTCTTGTTTTTTAGGTCACTTTTTGGAGGTTGGAGTGAGTTAATAGTTACTAATGTACAATGCCATCGGGTTCACAATTGACCTGGAAAGAGTGTCTCCAAATGGTTTTATTCTCTAGCAATTGAAGAAAAATCAACATTTATAAATGTGCATGAGGTATATATCTGAGCTCTAATGGAAACTGCCTCAAATCCTTTCCTTGGACTAAAAGGAGAATGAACTAGGAAAAAAATTTGTGTGACATTTATCTGCTGTACATAATTTTTTCTGTTGATTTAATTTATTTTTTCTAACATGTAAAACAGGAAGGTTTCCAAAGCCCAAATCTGATAATAAGGTACGTTCAGAGAAGTCTTTCTTCCACCCTATTCCACCTTGTTCTCTTTCTTCTCTCTCTGATAAAAATTTAATTCTTGGCTTATGCTTTCACTGTGTCTTTTTGCAAATATAAGCAAATTCACATGCTCACATGCATACACTCATATTTGTATTTCTCTTCCTTTTTGCCCCCCAAATAGCATACCATTTTACAGTTTGGCACCTTGTTTTTTTTCACTTAAAATATTCTGTGGATCATTCCGTATCAGTATATAGAAATCTTCCCCATTTCCTGTACAGCACACATTTTGAAGCATCTGTGTGGTCCCATTAAAAAATATTATTAAAGAAGTCATCAAAAGTGAGAACTATAATTTTTGGCAGAATTTAACTAGTTAATTCCAGCTTATCTATAGCAAATGATGGTTTTGGGATCATTTACCCATTCCTCTCACCTCCTACCTACACTGTGCTGAGGGTACAGACACTGACTTTTAATAACTAGCCCAGGCATATTATTCACAGGTTTTGGGCTGGAAAGTCACAGAAATGAGCAAAGTAGAACTTACAATTGGGGGGAAGGAAACCACTTTTTCTGTTCTCTGGAAGCTGTCATCTGGACACAAATTATGACGTCATTAGCAGGATGGGGTTTCTATAAAAATGAATAATTATGAAGTTTTGAAAGTATTTTTTTAAAACTCCTCTCTTTTTATAAACTTGTATGTGACATTGTGTTAAAGGAAAGGAATAATTGTCCATATTCATACCATATAGCTATAGTAACTGCAGTATGGTATTCATACACCACTATAGTTGAGCACATTTTGTTCTAGGATTTTTTTCCTGTACGTACATTTTTTTCTCACTCTGTTGATGTAATGATCGTTGACCAAAAGTGATCAAATCTAATACTTTACAAATAGAAGATTAAGTTGTACTTTCCAAAAGATAACACCCCCCAATCTAATGTAAATGACTTTGGGACCTCTATTGGGCTCCTGGGTAATTTACATAACGTCTACTCACCATCATCACTTATATTCTGGAATGATCTTTTCAAACTATTGACTACATTAATCTGATGAGTTTATTTGAACACAAATAGACTAGAATGGAAGACTTCACCTCACCATATCCCCCATAAGCCACGGAGAATAACTGCTCTTAGGCCCAGATGTAGAATTGTGAGACTTAAATTTTTATCTAGGCTACCTATACTTACGATTCATTTCAAAAACTAGACACCAATTGCCAATAATTTGAAGTTTAAAAAGAGAGAGAGATTGGGTACAGTGGCTCACACCTGTAATTCAGCATTTTAGTAGGCTAACATGGAAGGATTGCTTGAGGCCAGGAGTTGAGACCAGCCTGGGCAATATAGCCAGACCCCTATTTCTAAAAAAAAGAAAAAAAAATTTTTTTTGAAACAGTCCTGCTTTGTTGCTCTTGGTAGAGTGTCATGGCATCATAGCTTACAGCAATCTCAAACTCTTAGGCTTAAGCCATCCTCTTGTCCCAGCCTCCGAAGTAGCTGGGACAACAGGTGCCCACCACAATGGCCACCTATTTTTTTTAGATGTAGTGTCTCACTCTTAATCTCGAACTCCTGAGCTCAAGCAATCCACCTGCCTTGACATCCCAGAGTGCTAAAAATAAATTTAAAAAAATTATTAAATAATTTATAAAGAATTAGCCAGGGGTCATTGCACATGCCTATAATCTCAGCTACTCTATAGAAGGATCCCTTGAACCCAGAGGTTGAAGTTACAGTGAGCTATGATTGTATCACTATACTTTTGCCTGGCAACAGACCTTGTCTCTAAAATAAATAAATAAAATAGAGAGAGGCCAAAAACTCTTTGAAATCTGTTTCTGACTTTAATTCTTTGACAAAAAAATTATTAAATGTCCCATTCATTTCCATATTGCCATGGTGTTATTGACATTCATAGGCCTTTAAAATCTAAACTCTTTGCCATAACCAAAGGTGACTTACTAAAATCACTCATTTAAAAATGCACTTTTAGAACACTCAAACAAGGATGATGACCTTTCATTGATTCAGTAGAATTTTCTCACTGTTTCCCCTTAGGACCAAAGGTGTGCTTTTGCATAAGCATAAGCCAGGAAGCAGGGTGGTAGAGGCCCTTGTCCTGAGACCAAGGAAGGCAAACTAACTGGACTAGATGAGAATCGATCCAGGACCTCATCAATCCCACATTCTAGGCAAAGGTTAGTGTAATTATATTGCTTTAAGTAAAATGAGCCTATGAAAACTTAGAATTAACAGAATGACAAACCTGGAGATGATATTTGCTTTAGAAAAGAACACTTTCCAGGCAAGCCCTTTAAATAACAAGCTCCCTTTGTATATTTAAAGTCAGATTCAACTATATTAAAATACACCTTTCAGGAACTTGCTCCCAAGGAGGGTTCTGTACACATGGACTTCCTGTTTTTCTGGGGAATCTTTTAAATAGGGTATTACTATTTGACACAATTAACATAATAAATAATTGCCAAAGTTTCATTTTAATTATAGGGAATGTAATTTGAGGTTACATCAGAGCTACAAGGGATCTTAGCTTCCTATTTCTCAAGGTGTTCAAACTCTGTGGAATTTTAAAAAGGCATTTTAAAAGGGTAAAATATGGAAACTTTTAATACTTTCAAAATAGTTGTGAAATACCTGAACCCAGGACATTGAGATCTCAAGGTCACTATTTGCATAACCTTTATAAAGCTAAAATGTGACTTAACAGGTTAAATATGTTATTTAATAATTGTTTAATTCATATGCTCATTAAACTTAAAAAGATATGATAGGGGGTAGGGGGATACAAAACCGTGAGAGCAGGACAGCTACACAACTTGTCAGACCCACTGCAGAGTGAAACCGTAGATAACAGTAGCAGAGCCTTGATTCAGGCATAGGGCAACCGCACAAGTTGCAGGCCTTCCCCTTTCCATGCACCAGGCCCTCAACTCTACGGTCACAGGATGCCGGGGCAGGGATGGATGGGGGCTTTATTGTCACACAGTTGGGCTTTAGGTAAAAACTCTAAGCACAGCTAATTACCATGGTATCACTGGGCCCGGTATTATAAAACAAAATACATTCTTCTCTTTTTCCTGAATTTGTTTTTTTGTAGAGACAGAGTCTCACTTTATCGCCCTCGGTAGAGTGCAGTTGAGTCACAGCTCACAGCAACCTCCAACTCCTGGGCTTAGGCGATTCTTCTGCCTCAGCCTCTCAAGTAGCTGGGACTACAGGCGCCCGCCACAACGCCCGGCTATCTGAATTTGTTTAATAGAGATGGGTTTGATGAGTTGTCCTCTCCCCCCACCCACCCCGCCCCCATAGTGTTTTTTACATTGAAGAGAATCACAATTTACAGTTAGAAAATTGTCTGCTGGAGACAGTGCTGCGCGCCCCAGCAGGCGGCTGACCCTAGCCTGAGAGCCTGCAGGGGCCAGTCCCTGCGGCCCCCAGCGCATTTCTGCGCAGGAAGACAGGTCACAGCGTTCGCTGCAAACCCTGAGAGAGATGCTCCCTCCTTGGAGACCTTTTCTCAGTTTCTTTCGCTCGCCCAGAGCGGTACCTCCATCTCCCTAGCGCCTCTCATTCCCCCGTAGCAGGCCTACAGCACAGGCGGGGGTTGCCCCCACCGCACGTCCCCGCCAGCAGGGGGGCAGGGGGCCTGCCCAGCCCCGCGCGCCCGCACTCCCGCAGCCAGCCTCGGTTACCCAGTCTTCCGGGCGCCCGGGGACACTGCAGGAACCCCAGCACCCAGCCGCGCGGGGTTGGGGCGACAGGGCCCGGCCGCCGATCCAGCACCGCTCCGGGGCCTCAAGATGGCCCAGTGTCCCTGCTCCCCCCCGGCTCTCGCCTCCCACCCCCGCAGGCTCCCCGCCGCCCTCCCTGCTGCGCCCTCAATCCCGCTTCCTCCGCGGACCGGCGCCGCCACCCCTGGGCCCCGGAGACACCGTGGCAGGTCCCGCCAGCGCCGCGGACGCGGCGGCCCCGCGGCCCATGCGCGCGCAGCGCCCCCGCGGCCACGCCGAGCGCGGGCGGCGGCGCAGGGAACGAGGCCGCGGCGCGCCCGGCCCGGCCCCCTCCCCCACCCGCCCCCAGGGCCGCCCGCGGCGTCCGCGCCTCCCTGCCCGCCCCTGATTTCCTCCGGGCGGCGGCGGCGGCGCCTCGTGCGCGCGGTTATTTATTTATTTCCGGGCCCAGAGCGCTTATAATGGAGCCGCTGTCAGCAGAACCTTCTGCTGCTGCTGCCGCTGCTGCTGCCGCCGCCGTCCCTCCTCTTTTTTTTCCCGGCAGATCTTTGTTGTGTGGGAGGGCAGCAGGGATGGACTTGAGCTTGCGGATCCCCTGCTAGAGCAGCCGCGCTTGAGAAGGCGCCGCCGCCGCGAGGAGGAGCCGCCGTCGCCGCCACCCCGAGGCCCCGCCGGACGCAGCCTCTGCCGGCCCGCGCCCCTGCTCGCCCCGCTCGCCCCTCGGCTCCTTGCAGAGTCCCTTCGCGGCGGCAGATGTGTGTGGGGTCAGCCCACGGTGGGGACTATGGTGAAATTCCCGGCGCTCACGCACTACTGGCCCCTGATCCGGTTCCTGGTGCCCCTGGGCATCACCAACATAGCCATCGACTTCGGGGAGCAGGTAAGCCCCGGCCGCGCCCCCCGGCCGGCCCGGGCAGCTCCGCCCCGCGCCCCGCACCCGCGCCCAGCACCCTGCGCTCCCGGCTCGTTCTGCCTCGGCCTTTGAGGCAGAGGGGAGTCACCTGCTCCCACTCTTTTTTTATCTTGGAACGTTTGGGTTTGCAGCTTGTCAAGGATGACTTTTCTAGCACTCCGTTTCTTCCCTGCCCCCAATTATTCAGCAGACTTTTCCAGCCTTCTCTGGAAAATGTTAAAAAGACCGGATGGTGTGAAACTGCACCTATGGAAGGGATTTTATAATAGTGCACAGAAGTATTATATAATTTGCGATTATGTAAACCTCAGCTCCGTAACTAACATGTAGTTTCTAGCAGGTTAAGTGCACGGTTTGTATTTAACCGTGGTTGGTGGAGATGGTGCGGTGGGGAGATTTTGTATTCTAGAATGTGACCAACTTCATTTCCCAGGTACTTCCAATTTTTAAAAATTTGTTTCGTTGCCCAGGTAAGAATTGGGGTTGACCCAACGGTGTCCTAGTAAGCTGACCTTTGGTCATTTTCTAGTCTGGCATTTCTTTCTTTCTTTCTTTTTTTTTTTTTTTCTTTTTCATGGACTACCGAAGAAGAGGAGCACAATTTTTTTTAGTGTTGCCTTCTGGTCCTTGTTTCTTTTTCGTGTTTTCTCCATGTGGCGTCATTGCAAATCGTGTGCTGCAGGCTCTCCAGCGGCGGCTCTGGGGCCCTGCACTTGCCTGCGAGGACCGTTTTCCCAGGGCCTCCCACGGGATGCAGTTGTATTCTAAGGCCCAGGAGAGGATTTGGGGATGGGACCATTAGGTGCTGTCTTCATGGGCAGGTGTCAGAAGTCATCAGGGCATGGGATAAGCAACACTCCTGGTGTTGTGCTACCATCTTTTTTTCCCCCTGCAAGTCAAGAGACTTGAAAGGATATTTATATACAGTGTGCACCTATTTTGATGCACTGCTAATTTTAAAGGCCAAACAGATTTCAGCAGCTTTACTAACCTGAGATTTGTTTGACTCTTTGATTTGGTGAGTATCTGTTTGGATTTGTCTCTCTGTGCTCAGAACTTTTGAAATAGTTGCAGTTCTATTAGCTTCCTAGGGTGTAGCCCACACTATAAGCCACTTTTAACTTGAATTGTATTGCTGACAGGTGGTCACAATGAGACGTATGCTCTAGAGACCTTTGTCTAAGAAGCCAACCCCTTTCTTTTGGTGAAATATTATATCTTTTCTGTTGCCACTCAGTCCTGCCAGTCCCTCACAAGGGTACCCCAAGGGCTTATCCTTCTCTCCTACTCCACCTTGTTCCTGCCGCCAGCCCGTCTGTCACAGGCAACTAGTAATTTTGAGCATTTTCTATAATCAGGGGAAGTTTTTAGACATGAATTTACTACATTGCACATTTTAGACGGGTCACATTTTGTAGGTTCCCCTGAACTTTTTGCTATTTTAAGGCTTATCTTCTTGGAGCTGCCCCAAAGGTTGTCAGAAAACCTGCACTGTTCTCCTGAACTCATGTGTGTGTGTGTGTGTAAGTGTAAGAATCATACGGATAACTAGTGGAAATAAGAGTAGCCTTTGTCATAATTAATGACCAGCCCTGCCTCCCATTTGCCTGATTTAATAAAAGGCTGATATAACTAGGTTGGATTTTAGTACATGGAAGAAGGATCTGCTGGGATCACAGACATGAGGCTGGGCACATGAAACAATTAGCCAGATGGTTTATGGGTCTAATAATTCAAACTTATCCTTAAAACATTGCTAGCTTGATTCTCATAGCTGATGTAAGCAAAGTACTAAAAGAGTTGTCTTTTGTACAGAAGCAAAATATTATCAACAAGTGTCATTTGAGGTTATTTTCCTGCAAACACCACAGAGTATTGATGAAGTTATAGGCTGCCTGGTGGTAGAGATATTTTATCACAGAGTTATGGGTGCAGGGATGGGGGAAGAAACCGATAGGTTTCCAAAACCTTGCTTTTCCTTCTGCTGTCAAATGATAATTGTTTTGTAAAATGGTACAGGATGAAAAGAATGGAGCTTACTCTTTCCCTGGGTTAGGCTAGAGGGAAAGAATTACAGTGGGAGCTAAGGAGTGGCCTGGTGTGGGTGATGAACAGAAGCACATTTTACCCCAACTGCTCTGAAGCACAATAAAAAAGAGGGGAGATGAACCAATTTGGGAAAGCAGGCCTCTGTTAGACTTCTGAAATACACAGCTCGCAACGTGAATTTGTGTGGAGTTCCAAGCAGATGGACTTATGTAGGTCCTGCCTCTGAGTGGGCAGGTATATCGCACCTTGCTGTGAGAGAATCATGACTCATATGTCAGTCATTTACAAATCGGAAGGTGGAGAAGAGGCGCAGGAGTATAAAGGTACATAATGTAGCCTCTGGATCGCATGCTTTTTTTTTGAGATAAGAGTCTTGCTTTGTCACCCTGGGTAGAGTGCAGTGGTATCATCATAGCTTGCCGCAAATTCTCAGGCTCAAGCAGCCATCCTCCTGCCTCAGCCTCCCAAGTAGCTGGGGCTGCAGACACTTATCACCACACTCAGCTCAGTTTTCTATTTTTAGTAGAGACAGGGTCTCACTCTTCTTGCTCAGGCTGGTCTCAAATTCCTGAGCTTGAGCCATCTTCCCACATTGGCATGGCTGCCAGGAATGCTAGGATCACAGGCCTGAGCCATTGGGCCTGACCAATCACATGCTTTTGAGATGATTAAGAAATGCAAATTGGGGGGCGTTTGGCACACCTTTTGTGTATGGGACATAACCACAAGAGGGACCTAACAAAATCAAATATTTTGACTTGGTGGTTTGTACCTTCACATTAACCTGAAATAAATTGACTTAAAAAAAAAAGAAATGCAAATTTAAAACTTGCCATTAGCTTTTAAGTCTTCAGTTCATCAAAAACAAAAGGATGGCAAAGTCATTTTAAATGTTTCTTAGATGGGGTATTTTTATGAGTATAAACATCACAGTTTGTGGCTTCTTTTTTTTTTTTTTTTTTTTGAGACGGAGCCTCAAGCTATCCCCCTGGGTAGAGTGCCATGGCATCGCGCTCACAGCAACCTCCAACTCCTGGGCTCAAGCGAGTCTCCTGCCTCTGCCTCCCAAGTAGCTGGGACCACAGGCGCCCGCCACAACACCTGGCTATTTTTTGGTTGCAGCCGTCATTGTTGTTTGGCGGGTCCGGGCTGGGGATTCGAACCCGCCACCTCAGGTGTACGTGGCTGGCGCCTTAGCCGGTTGAGCCACAGGCGCCGAGCCAGTTTGTGGCTTCTTTAGAGATCCAGCTATGTACAGATTCCACTGAAAGCTGAATGAGCTGCTCAGATGTGCATGTGTAAAGGAATTACCCATTAATGCCCCCAGGGCCATCAGTGGGCAGAGGGAGGGGCTGTGAAGAAGCCTTATAACAGTCTCTCCAGGACCCTGATGTTCTTTTTCAGACAAGAGCCTCAAGCCGTCAGCCTGGGTAGAGTGCTCTAACATCATAGCTCACAGCAACCTGGAACTCCTGGGCTCAAATGATTCTCCTGCCTCTGCCTCCCAAGTGGCTGGGACTACAGGTGCCTGCCACAACGCCGGGCTGTTTTTTGGTTGCAGCTGTCCTTGGTCTTTGGCGGGCAGGGCTGGATTCAAACCCACCAGCTCAGGTGTATGTGGCTGGCGCCTTTGCCGCTTGAGCCACAGGCACCGAGCCAGAACCCTGATGTTCTTCATGAACATTCTGTGTTGTAGCTGAGTCAGGGATGAAACCCAAATTTTAGGGAGTATTTATTCTAACAAAACCTAATAATACATTTTTTTCAATGTTGGTGGTGGTAGTAATTTGACAGAGAGGTTGAATTCTACACTAAAAAAAAGCTATTTGAAGTGACATGATCTGGTTTTTAATATTAAACATAACAAAGAGTGAAAACACTTTTTTGTTTGATAATGTTTGTAGAATTCTATAGGTATATATAATACTTTATGATCATTTCCATAGATCTAGAATTATTTCCATTTTTACAGATTGAGAATCAGGAGTATTAATCTCTTCCATTCATTGTCACCAGTGGTGTACTTATAATACCTCAGCAAATGTTACACATGAGGAAAGAATAAGAGGCCTAGGTGTGTTAAGGCTCTTGCTCAAGATCACATCAGTAGTAAATGGCAGAGCTGAGGTTCATGCCCATAACCACCTGATGTTTATAAATTTAGGAATAAGTTCTAGCTTTGTTGATTCCCAGCCTGTATCTAAAGTTAATCTTAGCTATCGTATTTTGAATTTTCTTTTTTTTTTTATTGAGACACAGTCTGACTCACCCTCCATAGAGTGCTATGGCATCATGGCTCACGACAAACTCAAACTCCTGGGTTTGAGCAATCCTGCTGCCTCAGTCTCCTGAGCAGCTGGGACTATAGGCACCTGCCACTACACCTGGCTAGTTTTTCTATTTTTAGTAGAGACTTGGTCTATCTTTTGCTCAGGCTGGTCTTGAACTCCTGAGCTCAAGCATTCCACCTGCCTTGGCCTCCTGGAGTGCTAAGATTACAGGCATGAGCCGCCACATCTGACCCATATTTTGAATTTTAAAAACTTAACAGATGTAGGACAGTCAAAAGTAGGCCTCTCAAGAAAAGAATATTATGACCAATAAGTTTATTTTAAGAAAAGTTAAACTACCCAGAAAATCAAGTCAACATTATCTTATTATAATAGTTTGGCATCACTTTTGGTAAAGGAGAGAAAATAAGAAGTAACTAATACTTCACGATAAAGCTATTTAGAAGTCACTTGGCATTTATCATTAGAATAATACAGATAGCTGAGGAAAGAAGGAGGAAGCTGAGATATTTTTTAAACTTTGTATTTCTTTTAAAGTATCTGCAGATGGCTATTTGATCTCACCATGTTCAAAGGACTTCTGTTTAAAACTAAATTTGACGCAAGAGTCACTGATTTCCCTAATAG